GAAACTTGATTAGAGAAACTCTGGGAAATACGGAAACATATAAAGGAGAAAAATAGAAATCACTCATATTCTCATCATTCAGAACACCTGTTAAAATTGTAATGCATTTTCTTCTACTCTTTCATTTTCCCTATAATTAGAAACACAGTACGAATGTACAATTTTACAAAACTGAGATAATACACATAATATTTTGTATTCCTTTTTACCACTACATAGCACACAGTGATTTCTTATCAGAATAAAGCAACAGTTTTCAACTGGTACGCGATACCTGACTATTCAGTCAGGGGCACTGATCTTTCTTCCCTTAGACTGTCAAAAAAACAAAACAAAACAAAAAATAAACAACCCCCCAAAAAGACAACAGCCAACACAACAATAGCCACCTGGAGTGAATGAATCAAAACTATACCTATTTTTTGTCAGATTGGCAAAAAATATATATTTTTGGTGTACTTCAGAGTTGCAGTAATTAGTTTATGGGTGCTGTGAGATAAAAAAGGTTGAAAATCACTAAAGTATTTAGTTTAAAACATCTTTTACTTTGACTTTGCCATACTTTATGTAATCATCATTCTCCTGAGGTTATAAACAACAATGCACATAAATCTTCATGTTTTTTATTATTTCATTGGAAGAAAAATCTAGACATGAGATTACCAGATTCAAGGGTATGTACACTTTGATAACTATACAGGTGACCAACTGCCATCCTGAATGTTGTACTAATTTATACTTTTACCAGTGGGGCAATATCTAACTCCTGTTTCACTGTATCCCTCACCAACAGTGGACACTGGTTTATGTAATTTTGCCAATGTCACAGAGAAAATGGTTCCTAAAATTTGCACTTATTCATGACCTCTACTGAACATTTTTCATGTATCTATTACCTATATTTCTTCTTCTATAAACGTTTCTATCTTCTACTTAAAAACATTTTAATGAAGTGTAATATGCATACAGAGCAATAAGCATACCTTAAATGCAAAGCCCAATGATTTTTTCCATACAACGAACACACCCACACACCAGCATCTCGATGTAAAGACAAACACCACCAGCACCCCAGCAGTGCCTCATGTCCCCCTCCACCACTGACTTCCCTGAGGGTAATCACTCTTCTGATACTGAACACCAGGGGTTAATTCTGCCTGTTTTTCACTTCTGCTCATCTTGATAGTAATACTTTTACTGTTTAAAAAAGTTAATTAGTATTTATTATGAAACACTTTTAAAAAAGCAATGATTCATCCAAAAATCATATTACTTAAAGTAACTATTGTTAACTCTGGATGGATACACCAATATATAGAAAAAGACAAATTATCCTACAGAATGGGATTATAATCCAACTCTAATTGAAGAAAAAATAACTAAAATAAAACTAAAACAAAAAAACAAACCTCCAAATTTCAGGTAAGTGTTCTTTGAGTATATACAAACCATTAAGAAATTTGAGTCTCATTAAAAAACACAAACAAGACCTGTTTAAATTCTGCATAATATTGATTCATTTCCTACTAATGAAAATATGAAATAATTAACATGCACCCCTCCCCCCATCTCCACCATTCCCCATCCACTAGGTTTGGTTTCTTATAACACTATTTATATTTTATCATTTACACTTAATTCTGTGACCATAATTCCCCTTGATTGCTTCCATTATTGTGAATCACACTTTAATAATTGGTTTCATCCCCTTTTTATCTTTAAAGACAGTACTTCTGTGTTTGAGAATAGCCTTTGTAAAGAAAGATGACCCAATTTCCTCAGCTCACACTTTCCTTTACAAATCTGTAATAATAATGTAATAATAAAAAGAATAACAGGAAATATTTAGTATTTAATGTTAGTTTGGTTCTACAGATGAAAAAAATCTGAAGTATTAAAAGGTAAACTGACTTGCCTAAGGTTGCTCATTTTGTAATGTGGCAGAGCTGATTCGGACATCATTGGTCTGGCTCAGGAGCCTATGCTTTTAACTGCTACATCACATGCTGCTTTGAATGACTCCAGTCCACACGTGACTGGGGGAAGGGACAGTAAAGGGTGCAACTAGCTTTAAGGGGGTAAGGCCAGGCATGCGAGAAGCCCTGCAATAACAGGACACAATAAAAATCATACCACTTCCTCAAAACTTTCAAATGTCTTGTTGGACATTCATGAGGGAATGACTTATTTAAAATAACCTGACCACAGAACACTTTGCATATAAGTACAAAGGATTATTTTTGCAAGGATTTAATATTATCCATTTTCCAGGAATGCAACTACCAGAAAAACTGTTCGATGTTTTGGGAATTGGTGTTTCCGAGAGCAACAGTACACTCCACAGCGTCTGAGCTGCTACCAGAACACACCCGGTCGAGCTGCACTCGCAGCTGCCACAGTCGGGCTGGTTCTGCACACGGGTCCCAGCTCCACCGAGCCACTTCCTTCCTAGTGCAGTCAGGGTCCCGCCTACACATCAATGTGACGATCACTTTACCGGACATTGTGTTTATTTCTTCTTTCTATTCAATTAGGACAACAAGCTGGATTTAAAATTAGCGATGTCCTCTTATCTACAAATTTCATTTCAGGATCCAAAAGACTCCTATTCCTGTTGAGGTTCCACACCATTATATAAGGGTTGTAATTTTTAAGGGTTTTTCTTTGACTTTTTCTCTGATGTCTTCAGTCCACTTGTTTCTAAATTTGTACATATAATGAGAAAACTTACATCATCTTTTTAAAGTGCTGTTTTGAGGTCTGGAGGTAAGATGAGGGAGCAATGCCACTGTGCACCAGAATATTCCATTTATTTCTACAGGTTCCCCTTTCAAAGTTTTACCTTTTTCTTTGTTTAAAGTTCTACTTTCTTTATTTGAGTTTTGCTGGTGGATTTCTGGTTGTCACTCTCATTGCTACTATTTGATCAGTTTGTTAGCGTTGGGGGATATTTTATGATCCTGCTTCACTCAGCCAAATCACCTTGCAGTCCTTTTTTGCACACTCTTTGGATGGAATGCTTTTCTTTTCCTTTGAAGAGACCATCCCAATAAATATTTTCCTTAGTATAAGAGGGTGAGTCCTTCAATTACTTTGTGATGAGTGAAAATTTATTACCAAGTTTTCTAATATCACTGCATTCTTCTGATAGCTAATATAGTATAAAAGTCTACTTGGGGTCCATTATCACATATAAATTCACTTGTGAAACTAACTATTAGTTAATTTTTTTGAGTGATGACAATGTGCCAGTCACTGCTCTAAGAGCTCTGCATTTATTATCTCACTAATCTCACAATGATCCTGTGAAGGAGATTTTCTTCATAGGAAACTGAGCTGCAGAAAGGTTACCTACCAATTTGCCCAAATTCACATAGCTGGTAAGTGGCAAAGTAGAGATTTGCATCCTGGTCACCTGACAGCACCTCAAGATATTTATCCACTCCTTTACTGCCCCCCACGTTTTTAGGGGACTTGCAAGTTTTTAGTGGCCTCCCTTTCCCTCAAGGACTAACTGCTTTACTATAGTTTTTTGATTATCACTTTCTCTTTACAGCCTTCCACAAATGCTCAATAAGTATTTACCGTATTTTTCAGACTATAGGACACACCCCCCAATTTGGGGGGGGGAAGGGGGTGCATCTTATAGTCTGAATATAGCTTTATATTTACATTGGCAAAATACTATGTTATTTATGTTATTAAATATTTGACCACATTTTTTGCTTCACAATTTTTTTTCCTAGTTTCCTCCTCTAAAACCTAGGTGCATCTTATAGTCTGAAAAATAAGGTACTTAAATAAATGAAAGACTTAACTTCTTATTTTCACTGCTCTACCCCCATCTCTTTTAATGTGCCTTTTCCTTTTAGCTTTAAAGAAGAGCAAACTAAAATCTCCAATATGGTTTTTACTCATTTCTGAGTGGTTAAGAAATAACTGCATTCTATGACTTAAAAACAACATTATAAAGCTTAATAGTTTTTACCTATACTTTATAAGCGAGCTGATCAAAGCAGACCAGAAACATACGTGGGGCTTTTGAGTACACCACCACACAGCCTTGCTGTCACGTTTGCTTTGAAGGGGGAACTTTCAGCAAAATCTACAAGGGTAGGTACTCCTCTTCCCTGCTTCTGGCAAAAGCAGCTCTGTGCTCCCGGCAGCTCTGATCACCAATTACACACTCTGCCAGCCCTGGACCAGTGATACACCAGATCTACTCAAGCTACCTGTGCTCCCATCAGAGCTCACTGTTCTATCTCCTCGTCTGTCAGATTTCTGACACAAATTAACAAGAGGTCAAGCATATTAACAGATTATACATCCTAGGCAGCATGCTTGATTTAGAGTGAAAGGGTTAGTGATACAATATGCTAACACAGGAAAAGTTATTGCAGTTTCAGGTACTATAACAGGCTGATGGTTTTGGCATTATTTTGAGGTAGGCATGTCTCTTGCCTCCCTTCTGGTCATACCCCATAAATAACATTAAAGAATTTTTTAGAGATACAAAACCATGTAAGTAAATGCATGAAGATAATACAGAGCAATACAATCTTGAATTTTCAAATGAAAACAGGTATTTTTAATAGCCTACAGTTAAAAAACAAATAAAAAACCAGCATGGTGGAAATAAAATGATTATGAAAATAAAACTCTGTTAATGTAGACAATAATTCTTTGTGGCAGAATTTATACATATTAAATAATTCAAAGTGGCAAAGAACCCTTATATACTACAAATGGAGAGCAGTACCAAAGAAAAACGTACACATGATAATTAAGTGTGGATAACAAGCAGAAATAAATTGAGATAATATGGTTTTGGTAGAAAAAATTTAAAATATTTATAAAGTTAAATGGTCAGATCCAAACCGAACTTGTAAGAAGAGGACTTGTTCAAGATGAAGAATCGACTTCAATTCTTTGCATTTTAATAAAAATGACGCAATGGCATCATTTGAAAACTGAGCTAATGTACTTTGGAAATTACTTACGCTAATGACTGATGAAGATGTTGACAAATTTAAACCTTCAAGATCAGCTATCAAGCTTGGAGAAAGAACTGGTACGGAGGGACGCACAACTCGTGTGGGTACTGGGTTAACTGGAAGAAAAGGCCCAAATTAGCAAATGTGCATGAAGATTTACTGCATATTATTAAAAGCAACATTTTTATTTTGTTGGTGAATCTAATTACATTACTTTGATTAATAAATCTATGACAATTCTATTTAAACATCTTGATTTAGTTGAGTTATTATCAAGTCAAGGCACTTATCAGTCTAGGCTTTCAAAACACAATGGCCTGGTGGGGGCTATGGTGATGGATGGAGACTTGGGGTGCAGAACACAGGATACAGTGTACAATGACATGTTGTAGAACTGTACACTTGTAACCTGTGTAATTTTGCTAACCAGTGTCACCCCAATAAATTCAATTAAAAAGTAAAATTCAAAAACACAATGGCAAATCCTGTAACAAAACAAGGACATAAATATCTTAGTTTTTGAAAATGTTTATCATATAACACTGTCAGCCAGCAAATGTACTAAAAGAAAAAGGTAAAGAGACATTTTTTCAGACTAATATAAAGAATAACAATAGCTTTCAAGAGAGTTCTCCAGTTCAAAGTCTTAGAGAGGCAATATAAGGGGGCTAAATGGTAATCAAAAAACATATAATAAAGATTAAATTTTAAAGAAAGAGTGTTTCAATTCTTCCTCTACTTTATTCTCCACTGTAATAATTATAGTGGCACAAGCTATCTAATTCCCTCCTAGTTATATTTTGTTAGTAAAAGCTACATGCTAGATAAAAATGTTTACTCTTAAACTCCTATGTACTAGAGATCAGATGCCTGAAAATTTGCAAATCTCAAAAAAAAAAAGCAAATCTGATTGCATGACTCCCCTGCTTCAGACTCTTGAGAGACTCACAACTGCCTACAAAAGGCCAACTCTTCACTAAGTGGGCGAGCGCCTCTCTGTCTAGCTCAGCACTGTCCAGCAGAACTTTCTGGATGTCGGAAATGTCCCACAGCTGTGCTGTCCAGTATCCAATGCACTCTCAACCTGTGGCTAGTACAACTCAAGCACTGCAGTTTTGGTTTTGATTGATTTAAATTTAAGTAGCTATGTGTGGCCAGTGGTCACTATATTGGGGAGCACAGGTCTAGCTTATCTCCAATTTTGCCCACCACTTCCATGTTCTAGCTTTACCTAATAATAGTTCCCGAAATCTTATTTCTTTTATATTCTATTCCCTTTGCCTATAAGTTACTTCTTTGCTTTGCTCACCTGGCAACTTTTACACATGAAGATACCACTGCTTCTATGTGCCTTCTCTGTTCCGCAGAAATGTGTGGACATATTTCTACAACCACACTTCTCTCAAAATATTAATTAGTCTCTATATGTTTTTATTTCTACTAATTTGTGTGAGCAGGTTTTTTAAATGGTTAGTAATTGCTCAACTGTTTGCTTAGTAAAACATATTAAAATGTGGGAAAAGTTTTAGCTTCCATCAAATTCTCACTCCAGAATAACACTATAAAGGAAGTAACGTTCACTCAATTTGACATCACTTTTCTTTTTTTTTTTTTTAAAGATTTTTTATTCCTGGCTGGCGTAGCTCAGTGGATTGAGCGCAGGCTGCAAACCAAAGGATCGCTGGTTCGATTCCCAGTTAGGGCACATGCCTGGGTTGCAGGCCAGTTCCCAGCAGGGGACACATGAGAGGCAACCTCACATTGATGTTTCCTTCCTCTCTCTCTAAACATAAATAAAACTAAAATCTTAAAAAAGATTACTTATTTATTTATTTTTAGAGAGAGGGTAAGGGAGGGAGAAAGGCAGGGAGAGATCTATCAATGTTGGTTGCATCTTGCATGCCCCCCAGAGGGGATCTGGCCTGCAATCCAGGCATGTGCCCTGACTGGGAATCGAACCGTGACTATGTGGTTCACAGGCCCATGCTCAATCCACTGAGCTATACCAGCCAGGGGTGACATCACTTTTCAAAGCATTTTTTTCTCATTTTTGTCTCACAATATCCTGTAAATTATGCAGAAAAATATTAAATCATAAAGTTAGCAATAAATATTTCTTGAATAAGAAGAGAGCAATACACAAAGTTCAAGAAATGGAGCAAGAAATGGTTCCTGTCTTCAAGTAACTTAATACTAATTGAAAAAAAGACTTGCACATGTTTGAAGAAAAAAGAAAGAAACAACATGGTTTTTAATTGATATTACCAAAAGAAGAAAATTTTCAAAGGAAACCTTAAACAAAGTCTCAACACACACAATAAAAAAGGCAGTCGAGAAACCGGGTGGAGGAGGACTGGAGCCCTGCTCTCCCACCTGCACCCCCGGGTGCGCCTGCAGCACTTCTGCAAAGCCCCTGGCTCCCTCAGACCTACCCTGGAAACCGCTAACTAGTAAGTGCCCCGGGAAGCTGGGGGTCAAAGAGGAGCGATGGGGATGTGGTGGTACGAAAAGGCTTCATGCACAGGGGGAATGAGGTCCAGTATTCCAGGAAGGGTAGGATCTGAATAAGAGGAAGGAGGAAACTGAGTAATTACTGGATAAGAAAATGTAAACAAAGGCTGAGGGGTGGAAAGCTAAGGGGTTTGGGTTTATCTTGTGCACTAAAGGGAACTGTTAAAAATCTATGCAAAAGAGCAATGGTATGACATGGTATTATAGGACAATTAATCAGGTGGTAGTGTAAGGGACCAACTGAAAAAGGAGCATTAACATTGTCAGTGAGAAAGAATTTACAATAGTTTAGGCAAGATGTCAAATGGACTGAAGTAAGATACTGGCAGTAAGAAAGCAGAAAAGGCATTTATATTAAAGACATTGTAAACTGAGGCCCAGGGAGACTAAGGCTTGTCAAGGCCATACAACAAGCGAATGATGAAACCACTGTAGGCCCAGAAATGGGTTCTTCTAACTGGGATAAAAATATCTTGCCTTTCCGTGCAAAAGGTAACTTCTCTGGTGGGTTCTAAATGCATGTTTCTTCATTTGTTTGTCCATCCATCCACCCGAAATATTAGATGCCCATGTTTAGTAATAAAAATTGAGTAAGAATAGCCTCTCATTTCAACTATGCCTAGGCTAAAGACCTAGGGAAAAAGTGTCAAAGACCAGATAGGAGAATTCATACTGTAGGCAAGGTGACTCTTAAGAAAAATACAGGTTTTTCATATCATTTCAGAAGATAGAGGTATTAAAGAAAGGATTACATATCTGTTTAAAGGTCTGGCAAGATGAAAGCTGGCATGGAAAGTTTATCCTAAATTGAATTCTGAGGCCAGCTGAGTACACTGAAGTATTTAATTAATGTGTAGGAAACAAAATGACTCTGCAGCTTAAAAAAAATAACAAGGCATAGTAATTAAAATGAGATACCATTTCAACCATCAAATGTGCAAAGGCAATTTTTAAATACAAAAAAATCCAGCACAGGTAGGGCATAAGGAATCTGGCACTCTCATACTAATACTGTGTAAGTTGTTACAAGCTTTGTGGGAGGCAATTCTACCAACAGAATTCTTTAAAGCCTTTGTCCCAGCAATTCTACTCTTGAGAATTTATCTTAAGGAAACAGCCATGGAGATAATGCAATAATGTACTTGTGATGATGCATACTGCTTCACTGATTATGATAGCAAGAAATGGAAAGAAGTTAAATTTCCAACAAGAGTAAACCTGTTAAACAGAATTTATTACAACAATATAAACGATAACCATGCAGTCATTAAAAATGAAGTTGTTAAAGAATATTTATGGCATGGAAAGCAATGTGTATGATAAATAGATAAGGAAGCAAATTAATGAAACAGGATCTCAGAATGACTCAACTGGTTTTTTTGGGGGGGCCGTTGTTGCATACAAAAAGAAGCTGAACTGATATGTCAATGTAAACCCAGGGTATTTGGATTACAAACCCATTTTTCCTTTTTCTTTTTGAAACCTTCTACAAACGTTTTTTTCTTTACTAAACAGTGTTTAATGAAGTAATTATATAATTATTCTTCTGATTAAAGTATTACCTTAAAATTTAAGAAGTAAAACTTTCAACATATAATAATTTGATATGAAGTTAATGTGTTAAATGTAATTTACTGCTGTTGCTGCTCCAACTTTATCATCATCTCCATCATAGCTAACCACCATGTAAAATGCTTACCAAGTACCAAGCACAGTTTTAAGTGCTTTTACATTTATTGACTCATTTAGTCCTATGAATTCTCCTAAAAAGTATTAGTATTATCCCCATTTTATAGATAAAGCAGATAAAAAGATTAAATAACCTGTCCAAGGTTACACGTCTAGAAAGTAACAGAACTGGAATGAGAACTCAGCCACCTGCCTCCTGCTGTGCTACAATGTACTCAGCAATAGGATATCACACACCATAAGGCTTATCTGAAGCATGATTATTGTTGGGTGACATACATTTTTAAAAGACTTCACAGTTAGTTAGTTGTACTAATAGTGTAATTATATAGGTTTACATTTCCTATAAAGAAACACCAGAATATGATTACTGCTTTATGATCATACTACTGAGACAACACAGTGTGGGCTACTAATATTTTAATTTCCATAAATAAAAAATATGACTGGAAAAATGAAAAAGAATGCTACTTCTAAGCCCAATCTATCAGTAGGCCATATATTACCTTAGCATAAATATTTTCTAATGTACTACCAACTGACCTCATGAAATAGTCATATAATTTCCCAATCTAAAGAACTGTAGAAATATTCAGCCCTGTTTTTCACTTTACAAATGAATAAAATGAGGTACATATTAACTCAATTGATTAAAGGGTTCTGCTAATATCCCCTCAACAGATCCAATAAGGAGGTATCACATTACTTAATCAAAACCACAGAACTGTTTTTGGTAGAGCCAGTCTATTGCTAAGCACACTTCCTTAGAGACAGACAGTGATTACTTCAGGTGGTAGTGAGCTCCTTCACTGCTCCAAGCCTTTACTTCCCTTACTTTCTTCTCTAACCTCCAACTGCTTAACTAACTCTTAATTTACACTAAGCTCAAGCATGTTCCAGATGTAACAAGCTATGTTACATCTGGAAATTGCTGGGTGGGTTAGGTACTGGGGTACCTAACAGCATGCTGGCATCTCTCTCTCATTTCATTTACAATGTGGCAATCTGAGGGCCACTGTACGTGTTTTCCCTATGACACTGAGAGTTCCTGGTGTAGGGACAACACTGTATCCATGTAGAATTTCCAGCATGTAGCAGATGACCTAGAGCACAGCAAGTGTCTATTTAATAGATGTATTCTGAATGAAGATACAAATTCAGTACTTGTGGTTTTCCTAATATGCAGTGTGTACTGAACAAATAACCTCTGCAGACTATAATGTATCTCTTATATAAAATTTAAGAAATGTGTCTGCCTTGCTTTCAAAATTGATCTAATTCTCACAGTTAAGAACTCAAGCAATTGGAGACTAACTTTGTAGTTTTTGGTCAACAAATTGCTTGCTATTGACAGTAGAGGATTACTCAAGCTATTAAGCAGCATATAATGAGGACAGTATTTTAAGAGCCCTTATTAACGACGCTTTTCTCCCATAACATTCCACCTGTCCACCTGTAAACTCAGATTACACCTCTGCCACAGCCTTGGTAGCTTTTTAACTGGTTTATGTTTTCCTCCTCATTTTATTACTGTACCTTGCACTTCTATTGTATCCTCTTATATAAGGTGTTGTTCAAGTAATCTGGGTCCCTGGCTAGATTAGTCTCTGGAAGAGAATGACTAAATTCTATTTATCTGTTCTATCACCTAGCAGATGATCCACAAACATGGACAACAATGATTTAAAAAGATTTCAAGTATCACTTCTGCAAAAGATTTTTTAAAAGTTTTTTAAAAGATTTTATTTATTTACTTTTAGAGAGTGAGGAAAGGGGAGAAAGAGATGAAGAGAAACATCAGTGTGTGGTTGCCTCTTGCGCACCCCATACTGGGGGCCTGGCCTGCAACCCAGGCATGTGCCCTGACTGGGAATTGAACTGATAACCCTTTGGTTCACAGGCCCATGCTCAATCCACTGAGCTACACCAGCCAGGGATGCAAAAGATTTTTTTAAAAAATAGTTTTTGGTATAAAAATGAACAGAAATACAAACTATGTTGAATTAAAATAAATAGAAGTTGGAATGAAATTCCCCTTAGAATTAAAAAAAATACATTCATATTTTTTAAACTTATTAAGAAAACCTTTGTTTCTACATAAAATGGATTAATAATGAATCAAACAATAAAAATTATATCATTTTACAGGTTCCTCACTTTTCCATAGCTGCTGGTAAATCCAGAGTCAAATATAAGGAGAAAATTTAATTAGTGCACTCTAGTATCTTCTAACATTTACTCTTAATTCCTTTTTAAATGTGCTTGACCACAGCTGTAAATTGCAAAAGTTACATACTTCCATAAAATATTCATCACCACAGAAAGCTGTAAAATATAAAATAAAAGTCTCTCTCCTTTTTCCTAGTTCAGTCCTGTACCCCAAAGGGGCTGCAGCTATTGCAGTTAACTGTTCCTTCTGTAGCCTTCCAGAAACACAGGAGGTACAATCATGTTTGTGTGTGTGTTCAGGATGTAACTCTTCTTTTACTCCTTTTTCGTTTGTTTTAAAAGGTTTTATTTCCTCATTTTTAGAGAAAGGGGGAGGGAGAGGAAAAGAGAGGATGAGATATATCAGTGTGAAAGAGAAACACTGATTGGTTGCCTCTCATATGTTCCCTGACCTGGGACTGAACCCTCAACCCAGGCATGTGCCCTGACCGGGAACTGAACTGGCGACCCCTCACCTTGTGGGACAATGCCCAACTGAGCCACACTGGTCTGGGCTACTCTTCCCTGCCCCCAAAACAAATCATGTTTGGGGGAAAAATCATGTTACCTGTTAAAGAAAGATAACATGTTTTTTTTTAAGATACATTTTTTTTTAATTACAGAATTTTGTATATATAATATAAATAGCAGATGGAGATTTGCCCCAATTTTTGTTAAGGATTAGATCATCCTATTAGTAGGCATTTTGTTTGTTTTGTTTGATTTTGCTGTAATAAATAATGCTGCAATGAAATTTTTATTATAAACTTGCTTATTTTATTAATTCAACGAATATTTAGTGGGTGCCCACTATCTTCCAGGTGTGTTCACACACTAGGAATAGTAGTGAGCAAGACAGACGAGAATACTATTCTCAGGCAACTTGAATCTAATTGGGGAGAAAGATAATAAGTAATAAAGATATTTAACAGACTCTCAGATGGTGAAAAATGTCATGAATAAAGTTATTAGTGAATAACTAATAACTTTATTAGTTATTAGTTGAAGGTTATTAGTGAAGGTGTGTAAGAGAAGTTGACTCTCTGAGCTGGGATGTGAAAGATAAAAAGCAGCTTGCCATCAGAAGATCTGGAAGAAATGTTCTTAGCACGGGGAACAACAGAACAAAGGGCCCTGGGAGGAATGAGCTTGATACATTCCAGAAATGCACAGGAACAGAACAGATGAGAGACAGGCAGGAGTTGGATCATACACGGTCTTAGAAACCTGGGGATACAGATGTTCATGAGAGTGTAAAGTTAAACTCCTACACTAAAGGGTCTGAAACAAGGATGAAATGAGATCTGATCTTGCTGGTTTATCTGTATGATAAATTCCTAGAATTAATAGGTGTAAATTAATAGATATGAGCAATTTAAGTTTTGAGAGATATTATTATAATGACTCCATAAAGCTATACCTATTTATATTCCTATCAAAAACACATGTAGAATGCTTTTTCCTCTAACCCTTAGTAATAATGCATGCTGCTTTAAAATCTTTACCAATAGGTGAAAAATGATATAAACTTTAAAACTTCACCAATAGATGAAAATTATTCAAATCTCGCTCCCATTTTAATTTCTCTGTATTAACTATGTCTCTATTTTATACATTTTAATTTCTCTATATTAAGAGTTTGCTACGAGAAAGTCCAGATAAGTAATATAAATAAAACAGCTCTATATTCTGTTTAGAATAACAAAACCTACAGAGATAACTCACCTCTAGCATAAAAAAATTACCTTGAAAAATGACAGTAGTTTAATATTCATAAAATCTTACTTGTTACTCTTCTTCTAATGCAAAATGTACCCACCAACAAAGTCGATTTCACTCTCTCTCTCTCTCTCACAATGAAGGAGATGATGAATATACATTTTTGAATACTTGGGTTACTGTATTTGTAGGATTCTAAATTCCTAGAAGTGGATTTGCTGAGACAAAAATTTTTTTGCAGTTAAATATTGATAGATACAGCCACACTGGCTGCCAAAAACTTTTTGGACCCAATTCCACTGACATCGAAATGTGGCAAGAGGACAATGGTGGTATCCTTCACATTTTAAATTACTGCCCTAGTTTTCTACCTCCTTAGGTTAGATGTCTGAGTCCCCACAGCCAACATTTAACAATGCAGAAGTTGTGAGATACGGATAAATATTTACTGAAACAAGTGTAAAGTATTAAAGCAAAAGATCCTAAAATTAATTTGGTGCCCCTTTATTTGACCAATTATATTCATTCAAGTGACACAAAACTGATATGCTGAATAGATGAAAAAAATATTAACAATACCGATTTCTAAAATTTTCTTGCTGTATTTACACATAATTTTTTCTTAATAGATGTTAATATACTTTGAGACATGTAAGTAAAAGGTACTCTAAAAATAAAAATATTACTAAACACAGAAGAAATATTTAAATTTTCATACTCACAATCATCTAAATCTAGAAGTGAAACATCTTTGGTAACAGGATTTCTACCTTGCTTTGTGTTTCTTTCTTTTTCCTGTAAAACATGAAATATTTCATTTACTGTATGTTCTCCTTAAAAAATCTGTAAGGTATCCTTTAACACATCAAAACAAACGTTTTTCCTCTTCATAGTCTCATCCCCCAATATTAAGCTTTTACATGGTTATACAAAATGTTTTTTGAATCAAATATTTTATTTCGGTTAGCATACAGTATTTCTTTCCACCATGCAAACCGTTCATTATTTTTATTTTCTTTTAAATCTTTTTTTAAAAAGATTTTATTTATTTATCTTTAGAGGGAAAGGGAAGGAGAGAGGGAGAGAAATATCCATGTATGGTTGCCTCTAGTGCATCCCCTGCTGGAAACTGGCTTGCAACCCAGGCACATGACCTGACTGGGGATCGAACTGCTGTTGTTTGGTTTGCAGGCCCATGCTCAATCTACTGAGCTACACCATCTAGGGCACTGTTCATTATTTTTAAATATTTTGTGTTTAAATATTATAAAGAACCTTCAGAAGAAAACTTAAAAGGTAACAATTATTTTATAATCTGACAACTTTCTGCTGACATGAAAATGTAATGTCTGTGCACTTTGGCAGAAAGTGCACAAACACTATTGAAAATAATTTTTAAACAAGTTGATTTGAGAAAAAGGAACACTCAAACTACATATGCTTAGCCTGAGATGGTCAATGGCTTGTGATGGATTATCCTTGCTGAGATATAGTTTGTGATGTGCACTGTAGCAGATACATAGTATTTCAACAATGGGTGTGTCAGATTTCTGCCAAAGATATTAAAATCTATAAATGACATTTTCAGGCTCTTGTTCTTTAGAGCTGAAAAGGATTCATTTACTTTCTTTACTGTTTTCTTTTGGGGAGAATATGTATTTCAAAAACCATCTATGCATAATTAGGGCTTCCATCACCTCAGATTTGCATATTCAGTCTACTATGTTTTTGAAATGTGGTAACCATGGACTAGAAAACAGTGTCTGTAAGGCTGAGGTGTTGATGACAGTTTGCTTAGAGATACAGAAAAAATACGCAATCTTAAAAAAAATACAGTATTGAGTAGCATCATCAGCAATTAAAGAACAACAAATAGCAGGCCATTAAATAGATGTATTTGGATCAAGGTTACTTACCTTTACAATCTATAATTTTTTTTACATTAAATGTCAAATTAAAGGCCAGAACTTAAATTTTTACTAAAATGTGCGTTCCTTCCTTCATTTAGTCATCAATAGATATGTATAAAATTTTTAATATGTATCAGATTCTGTGCTAAGCAATGGAAGTAACAGACCCAAGACAGACATGGTCCCTGCCTTCATATAACTTATGATCTACCAAAGGAGTTTATAGCTTATTGCTTATGGGAAGTACTACAAATATGTTGGACATATTTTTCTAACCATGAAAGCTATCATTAAACAAAAGGCACATTACCGCCACTACAGTTTATACCGTATCAGAACTACTACTACACTGCCCGTACATGAACAAGAGCAAATACACCAAATTATGTCACAGGGAACACTTCAAAATAATTTTAAGTTCTGCTCGTTTTTCTTCTAATGCCTATACTCAGAAAAAATATTTTCCAGAATCCCACAACAATACACATTAAACACTAACTAAAAACATCGGCATTGATTTTCTTCCTCAAAATAATTATTTCTCCTACTGAATACTCCAAATCAACCAAATGGGTTTTAATTTTCATTAGTTATTTATAAACAACATTTGCCCCTCTCTCCACACCACAAATGAGTAACGATTTCTAGGGCTAAGGAAAAAAAAACAGAAGAAATGTTAATTTTGAAGCTGAAATGTAAAAGTTGTAAGTAAATAAAAACGTGTTCAGAAAGCAAATGCCATCTCCACTAGGATATCATTCCTGTGAGGAAGGAACAGATAACAGAAAGAGCTCATCACCACGTGACTTATCAAAATGCTATGCTGAGCACAGCGGGGGCGGCTTCCTCTAAGCCACAACGGTGCATGACTGTCTTCATGGAACTGTAACCTCCCCACCTGAAAAATTAGAGACCCATCAAATCCAGATAAAGTTAAAGCTGTAGGCAAGTCTATACCTTATTTTCTACTTCACAGCTAAGAGTCTGTAACAATATCTATTAAATACACATCAGGTCACATACAACACAGGACAGACTGCATGAGAAATTGGGATAAAGCCTAAAACTGAAAGAAAACAGGCTTTCGAAAGGACAGAATTTCATTGACTTTCTGAGAACAGCAAATAACCAGTGGCTGAAATACAACATTAGCAGTAGATAATGGTCATTTCTACTAAATTGAAAAAGCCTTGCATTCTGAATCAAGGCTATAAAAAGCTTCATGATGTGTTTGGCATTCCTCTCTTATGTTATATTTCATTTTTCATTTTAAAAAATCCATAGTAAGTTCAAAACATTTTCATACTTAAAGGATCTACTATAAAAATAAAAATGTGAATTCTAAACAAAGAAGTTAAGAGCCCTATTCCATCAAACATTTCTCCATTTGCAATTCATCTTGGTAATAGAGACAGAACCTGGGTAAATGCATATAGGACTGGAGGCAGGAGATTTTTCTTGCTCAATGCATAATTCATGTGCTCCGCCTGCAAAGTGTGTAAAATGAGAATTTCACACCGCAGCATGAGCCATGGAGCTGCAGAGAAAAGGCAGATGAAATCATATTTTACTGTGTGAATTTTATTTCTTACCCTCCCAATATTTATACAAAACCATCATTGACAAACCAAACACAGTGACAGATCACCCACTGTTTCCATTGTGTTAGTACTTGAGAGGAGATCAGGCAGAAACACAGACAATTTGTTTTTGTATATTGTTTTAAATAGGGAATTAGGTTTTTAGCAGCTGAGTGACTGTATTAGACTTTTATAAGGACAACAGTAACTGATCTTAAAATCTCACTATAAAAATACCTAGTTATCAATTCATCATCCTCAAATCGCCATTTTGTTTCCATGGTATTCGATTATACACCTTCACACATCAACATTTTCAACATAAAATACAAAGTCTCAGGGTTAAGAAACTGGTTTCTATTTAATATATTTTATTTCAAATAATAGATGAAAGATCCTGGAAATTATTACTAAGCTCCAAATAATACAAATAAAATTATGTACTAATATCTGTAGAGTTTTTTATGTATTATGCATGTTCATTTTCATGCTGATTTAAAAAGAACAAGGAAAAAAAATCTTACATGACAAGTATCGAATATGCTTCCTAAGAGGAAATTACTGTAAAGAGGTTTGAAATTTTAAACTATAGAACAGGATTAGTATATAAAGTCTGTCCAACTGATATCATGCTTTGAAATCAACAAAATTTCAAGACTAATGTTTAGCCTTACAAGGCAAGATATTTGAATGAAATATTTTCAATTAAAATTACCAACCAAGGACAATTTAATGACTCTCTTGCCTTCAAGTTATCTAACAAATTTGCCTTTAAAAATCCGAGGCTCACACTTACACTGTGCTTTAAACCAAAAGTACATTATCAGTAAATTGAAGTTTTTTACAAGTTAAAAATTAGTCTAAACTGTTAAATAAATCTTTCCTATTACATTATATCTACTTCAATAAGAAAGCTTATTTAATGGCATTCGCTGTTATTTAATGATCTCAAATGAAGTGAAATAATATTTCTGTTCTGAAGAATTTAAAATATAAACTAGCCCTGGCTGGTGTAGCTCAGTGGATTGAGCGCGGGCCTATGAACCACACAATCGCGGTTCGATTCCCAGTCAGGGCACATGCTTGAGTTGCAGGCCGGTTCTCAGCAAGGGCACACGAAAGGCAACCATACATTGATGTTTCTCTCCCTCTCTCCTTCCCCCCTTCTCCTCTAAAGATAAATAAATAAAATCTTTAAAAATATATAAAAAATAAATAAAATATAAACTAAACTGGGAAAGACATAAATTGAAAGAGGCAAGGTTTTGAATTATGAGTAAAAACCAATATTTTGCAATATTCATAGATGTTACAGAATCGCAACATATGTAAATACTTGTGAAAACACAAGTAAAGCTTGTTTCCTATATGTCAAATAAGGCACAAAATCAATTAGAAAATAGTTCCTTTCATTCTTATCCATAATCTATTTCAAAACACCTGTCAAAGTTTCCTTAAACCCAATCATTTTGGGCAAAAATAATTATTTCATATTATATATATTTCAGGAAAAACACCTAAAAATAAAAATATGCATGCCCATCAAGATAATTGTAACTAAAGAGAACAAGATAATTATATTTGGTCATTACCGACAATATCTGATCTCAAGTAAGCACGCTTCTCAATCAATAATACAATCAAACAAACATAACAACAGAATAGAATATGTGACTATAGTGTTGTGTGTTATGGATCTGCTAGGGGCATGGTGTTGAGTGACAAAAACTCCAGGAATATAATCCAATAGTGGTTCTCACCCTTTGTTCCTATACCATTCGCATGAATCATACTTTTTCATCAATAATGTTTCTTATGCCATGCAGTATTCTCAACCAGAAGTAAAGAGACCACCCTCTGATATGGGGCCATTTTTTCCTCAGCTTACGCTTTCTGTAATTAGAGAACAAGTGTAGAAGGAAAAACAAAGACATAGAAGTAGGAAAACATAGAGCATGTTAAGAGAATCACAGAGTACATACTCTGAGATCAGAACACTAGGAACACAAAGGAAGTTAAGTCTGGAAAGGGAAGTTGGGACTTGCTAGCCAGGGGAAGTTTACTAAACTTGAATGATAAGGGAGCATCATTAGAAGTAATGTTGAGCATTAAGCGGGAGCTGCAAAGGACTGGGGCTGGGGAAGCTGATTATGACCAGTGGCAATGATCTATGAGTGAGGTAATAACTGATCTACAATGGTGGTGATAGGTAAATTAGAAACAGATCTGAGAAATAACACACAGAATCTCTAAGACTTGGCAACTGTGTGAACATACACAATGAAAGAGGAAACAAAGCCAATTCTGGGGCTACAGATCTGGAAGATCTGGGATAAAGATTCTGGTACCAAATTGTACAGCATGTCATCTTCAGGCTGTATCAGTAGGTTTGGGAAACCAGTAGCTCCTACCAGATCTAAGAATTTGGTTTTAATTTGGGAACAAACATTACAGCTGTTGTAAGGACTTAGAGATGTTATTATGGAGGAATTCACACAAAAGTTTTAGTTGAAACTACAAGAGTCAATGGGTCTCACAACAGGAAAAATGAAGCCAAAAAATAACTGAAAATAAATTAATTCACATTAATTTTTATTTATGTAATACCTTTTTAAATTAAACTATTGGGGTGACACTGGTTAATAAAATTATACGAGGTTCAAGTGTACAATTCTATCCTATATACATATGATGTATCATAATTCATATTTTTGAAAAAATAATGTATACTAAGCACTAACTCTGGGGCAATATTCACACTTGGGTGTCAGAAAGTGGTAAAAGTGAAGCAATCAAAATGAAGGCAAAGAAGTCAGAAGAAAAGGAATGGAGAGAATTTCAAGTAGGTAGGAGAAAGAGAGGGTAATTACTACAAGTAGGCCACTGAGTGAGGGATGATCCCTGGTTGACTTCACAATGCAGTATCTGTAGGAAGTGATAGGAGTGAAAACCAATGTCAAAGGGACTAAGAAGTAACAGTGTTAAGAGTAGAGTAGCTACATTATTTTTCTAAACTCTCGTTGTCACACACTCACTCTGTCTCTATTCTACTCCCTCCTTCCCCTCTGTAAGTGTTGGGAAAAACTTAAGTGCCTTGGTTAGAAGAGGAGTCATTAGTGGAGAAAAAGACTGAAGGTGCAAAGAAAGCCGATGATTTTCAACAAGACATAGCCAAAAGGAAGTAGGACTTATTTTTAGTTATAAGAGGACTTAGATCACTTACTTGCAGCTATTCAAAGAAAAAGAAAGGTAAATAGATTGTGTGTTAGAGAGCGGAGTGGTAGGAAACATTCCCAGCATGTGGTAGCTCAGGATTCTGCAGAAGGTGCTTGAGATCACAGGCTGCAAGTAAGGGGTCATCCTGGAATATTGATTTATATCTTGAATAGTAAAAAAAGAGTTTAAAAAAAGACACATAAGTGTTACAACAAATTTTTCACTTTTTTTTTTTAAAGATTTTATTTGTTTATCTTTAGAGGGGAAGGGAAGGAGAGAGGGAGAGAAACATCAATGTATGGTTGCCTTCGTGGGTCCCCTGCTGGGAACTGGCCTGCAGGGAACTGGCCTGCAACCCAGGCATGTGCCCTGACTGGGAGTCGAATCTTGGTTGTCTGGTTCGCAGGCCCGCGCTCAATCCACTGAGCTACACCAGCCAGGGCAAATTTTTCACTTTTTTTGTGTTCTATAATGCTAATATTGTTTTTAAAAGGAAACTTGAGTGCTATAACAATTTGTGGTTCCTCTGGTGTTCTATAATGTAAATTATTAGCATTGGTGTTCTATAATGCTAATATTATTGGTCTCTCATGGACTTAATGTTCAAGTTAAAAAATGTTAACACTGATGTTTCATAATTATATAGTGCTTTACATTGATTTTCCGCACTTGATTTTTTAAAGCAGCACTTGAAATAAGTGGAGTAGGTGTTAGCATCTCTACTTTATAGATGAGGAAACTGAAGTACAACACTATGCCCATCCCGTAGCACCATCATATTCAAAGTACCTCATGTTTCCATTTTCATGCTCACTATTACAAGAACACATTGTCCAAATAACAGAAATGGAATAGAAAGAGTAAAAGTATAGATATAGTTTGGCTGCGGATTTAAAGTATATGAATTTTCAGCACTAAAATGCTGTCATGCTAAATTAAGGTAAAGCACCCACCATCTGCCTTCATTACTCATAATTTCGAGCAGAAGCCACAACACTTGGTACAAGGAAGACTTTTCTACAATTACAGGGTTGTCCATTATTAGAAAATTGATATACTTGTAATTGCATGGTATACTCCAAATCACTCAGAAAGAAACAGAAAGAAAAAATACTTATGGTGGCGCCAAGGTGCAGAATATTCCAACTGATAAATTCAAACAAACTATCCTATCTATTATAGACAGAAAAAAGATATTCTAATACAGAGAAAATAAGCCACATAAGCAAAACACATAGACATGAAAATATCAACATGAGTAACGCCTGAATTTCTCAAGTCTTGGCTCATTGCAATATTTTAAAATTTTATACTGATACTCTACAGTAAAATACTTTCAATTATTTAGAGATTTAATCTGGTCATTGATAGTCTTTGACAAAGAACCAAAAAGAATAGCTGACATGGGATACCTCTGTGGCTTTTAGTCCTAAAACCCTGCTTCCAATACTATATAGGCATTAGAGTGCATAAATTTTCAACTTTTGCAAAACTTCGTAAGAATAACTCATTTTAACTCCACCCACTGGACATTCATTGATTTCTTGTGTGGTTCTTTTAAAAATACTGATTTCTTATTCTCAGTTATACTTAATGTCAATTCTAAAGCTCCTTTATTTTATTTTAAATAACATGTTAAGCTTTTTTTTATAATTTAACATAAGTAGGAAATGAGAAGTTATTAAACTCACTATATAAGATTTTATGAGGCCAGATTAATAAACCTAAAAATCCATAAGATTTTATGTAAATTTTGGAAACAAATCTTAGATATATAATATATAGACACAAGTCTTAAACATAAATTCACATTTAAAATAGGTTTTACTAAATGCAAGAATATTTCAAAGAAGGTTAAGACAAATATTAGTCAATTTTTAAACATGTTTATTCTTTAACAATAAATCTCTGGACAAAGGAGAGAAATTGTACTTCAACGGATTTATTTTCATCCTTGGTTACTCAGATGTGTTATAAAAGAAATTGATAGGTACGAAGGAAATAAATCAAAACAAAGTCAAATATATTTGTTTTTGATTTCAAATATTCTCTCATTATATAGAAAATATTTTTATTTCTAAGAAGTTTATCAATAATAAATGTTGAGTTTTACTGAATGCCTTTCAGAAAAAAATTAAATTCAACTGAAAAGATAAGATTTGACCATAATTTCAACACATTGAATACAGTTTATTTAAGAAACAAACTATTGCATTTGAAGTCTAGCATCAACATGACCCATTTATAGGAAGGGAGTAAATATTAAAGATCAGAAAGATATGTATTAAGTCTGAATTTTATATTAATAACTATTTTTGCAATTTATACTTTTATGTTTTTGCAGCTAAGCAAACAAAGTTAAAGGTTAAAAATACATCAAAAAGTGTTACCATTCTATTACATAAGTGGTTCATACCCTTGTTTTTAAATACAGAGCTACTGAATTTTTATTATTTAAGGGATATATACCCTTTGATTAAACCTTTAAAAATATCCTATTATCCAAAAATACCCGATTTTTTAAAAAAAGAGTATTAGTGTCAATTTCTTACACCGAATATACATTATATTCCATTGTTCAATACTATTTCTGTATGTCCTTTAGCAAAAGCCTCCCTGTCATATTCCAGTCAAGAACAACAAAGGCTGTGCTCATAAACACTAAGCTCTCTAAGTTCAATGGCAAAGGATGAAGTTAAAACATGTTTCTAAATTCGCTGACAGGTTGAGTTACAAGGGAAGTCATTATCTAGAAAAAAAACAATATAAAATGATAGGTGTGGATGAATGAAGAGAAAGTTTATTTTCGTTGTCAGTGACAATGTTAAATTCCCTTCTTAGTTTCTTGATTTTCTACAAAATACTAATTTTCAGAAAAATTCATTCTTAATGGGGAACAGGCTATAAATATATTTACTTTCCATTACAATAAATGTGTAACCTCTTACCTTGGTAGCTTTTCTGGATTTAGACTCACTTTCTGATTCTGATTCAGATTCTGAAGAACTGTCTTCTATTGAACTAGATTCTGCACTGGAAGACTCTGAGGTTTCAGATTTTTCATTTTCTTTCTCCCCATCATCTGAATCACTATATATAATAATAAATTTTAAAATATCAACTTTAAATCTTTTAAATAAACAAGTTTAAGTACTTTAAAAATGAAATGGCAAATGTTGCTGTATTTGTCCAATTTGCCCATAACTCAGAAACTTTACTAGAGAAGAGTATTTCACTGAGAGCCACTTCTTTTCACTATTGAAAAAAATGATAAATATGGTTTGAAATTCCCAGAACATATTGAAGTAACAATAAAAGTTGTATTATCTATAACCAAATAAAGCAGAACCCATTCAAAACCAATTATAGGAGGACATCACACACTCTCAAATGCAAAATAGCATAAAATAACCTAAGTGATTTCCTGAGCAGAAAAAAACCCCAATAATTAAATGTTTGATTTACCAGAAATATACATTAGGTGCTAACAGTAAAACTTGAAAGATATTGGGGCTGATTTTAAAATGCTATCTCAAAATACTAGTGTTAATTAATAAATTTAAGTATTTATACATGTACTTTTGCTAATATAGACTTGCATTTTATAAATTTTTCTGTCCAAGAAAATTTACAAATGTTCCTAAATGTAACCCTAAGACATGTGAGAAATAGTTAACCAAAAGAGAATTTTTCTAATGCACCAAATCTTACTAAAAAGTAAGATATCAAATATAAACTTTTTAAACTTTGATTTAATCTTTTTTTCCATTACCATTTAATCTCCTTGTATTCCCTCTGCCCCCAGCAATCACCACACTGTTGTCCATGTCTATGAGTCCTTTTCCTTTTTGCTCAAATAATCAAACCTAAGTGTTGATGCCATTCATTATTCATTCACTCCCTCTCTCATTTAACAAACACTTATTGACTGCCCACCATGCATTGGCACTGCTAGGGCTGAGGATGACAATGGTTAGTTAGTAAGATGCAGATGATCACCATATGCCTTCCTTACAGAGTCTACAGCCCACTGGAAGACACGGGGAAATCAGGTAGCACTGACAATAAAGCGTGGTAAGTAATAAAGTATAGTGTGTCAGGAGTACACATGCAGGGTCATTGCAACTTAATGAAAACTGGGGAGGCTTCCCAGAAGAGACACATAAGTTGAGAAATAGGAATGAGGCAGGCAAAGGGTAGGAAGGTAGTTCTCCAAGGGAAACGATTACATGTAAGATAACCAAAAGGTCTCAGGGGAAAAGAGATGCCTTGTGGTCTTTGACATTTTCTCAAAACTAAAGGTATGTAGCTCTCCTTACCAAGTGTGTGTATTTAAGACTCCATGTTGTGCCAGGTGTGGTAGGAACGTCATACCAATAACCTAATTTAGCCATTCCACCTTATTTTTACTGGGTGCATTACCATCCTATAATATTCAGGAAAGTTAAGTAACTTGCTCAAGGACACACAGACAGGAGGGCTGAACTGCAATTTGAACTCATGTCTGTCTGACTCTAAAGACCACATTTCCCCTACCACACTATCCTATCACCCTCCAACTGAAAACAGTTTGGAGTGTAAAATTCAAATTTAGTCAAAAATACTTATGATTACTGAAGAGTGGTTTTGATGAAACTTAAAGCTCCTTAGCTTTAAAATACTATCACACAGTTATAATGGCAAAGTTTTAAAAGTAATTCTAAGAGAAGGCAGAAAAACATATGGGACAGAGAGTGGAGAGGCAAGGGAAGAATCAATATTTCCTAGAATTGATTTTTTGTGGGGGAAATATGATGGCTGTTTATTAAAAATGGAGTCATGGTAACATCTCAGAGCACATGTAATTATATTTGATGACTAAAAAATATGTTGTTGTTTTCCCTCAGCAAAGAATAGCAATTTATTATCTCCAATTCAATGCTTAAAACATGTACTTAAAAATATAAGGTTTAGAATGCATCTGAGATTCCCTTTGATGTAATAAACAATTCTTTTCAATTCAAACATGGGTAAAAAGTCCATTTCTGAAGGAAAAGAATAATGAAACTAATCTAATACATGATTATAAATTTCTGGCACACTGGCTTTTGCTCTCTGAAAAGACATTTAGTGCACTGAACCCAAACTTCCCTTTCCTAGAAATAAGACACTCCTTATAAACTATGTAATCATAGCTACTCTGGTATTAAACCAGAACTACAGAATTTCTCTCAAAGAAAAGGCTAATTACAAACCAAGTACCTCCTTTGTTGCAACAAGGAGTAATTCTGAACATATTTAACTTTTAGCTTTTGAGATAATATTTTAAAGGTAGAAGTGTTATTTTGTTATGCATCACTCAATTTTGATGGGTAATTATTGTTTACCTTACTACTTAGAGTTTCAGATGTTAACCTAATGAAAAGAATTTACTGGTAACTAGCTTTTTAACTTTGCAATGATGAAAAGCCTGTATTAATTTAACCTACAGATTTCATTTGTTCTGAACAGGAAAAACAATATAAATCACTTTTAAAATCATTAAATCCTGACTTAAATTAATAAAGTCATAATTAGGGTATTATGCTGTGTTTGTTATGGAAGTGGCAGGGCGAGCGGCTTTAATTACTGTCTGTAATAAAAGGAGCAGAGCGGGCATGGCGCCCAATCAGTGCTGTCAGCCACGACTGAGCGGGGCTGCGAGCTCATCGAGGGAGCGGGCAGCGGGCAGCGGGCTCCCAGGGAAAGCGCCGTCCTGTCTGCAGAGGCCACGCGCCGACAGCATGAAGAAAACGGACTCGCACAATCCATGGCAGCAGCCCCAGTTACTTAAATTTTTAATGACACTTTAATACATGATAATGTTGTTGATAGGAGATCTTAAAAAGAGCTAACACTTACATACCTTATGACCGTCTCCCTTCACAGTCCCTGACTCTAATATTTGGATCATAATCTTTCTAATGTAACATTATTTAGAAAAATCAATTGTCTTGGTTACATAATGGCAAAGTGTTGAAGGATTTAATTTTAGCCCTCAGCAAAATTGCTATGGAAGGTAATTAAGTGTTTCATACCTACTGCTTGATCACTTAATTCAGCTTTCCAAGGTTATACCAATTTTTGAAATATAGTCCCAAGACTTGTTCAAGTTCAAAATGAAAACTAAGCATTGTAAGTAGCAGGATAATGTAAATTAGTATTCTAAATTAATTTACAAGATTTAATATCTACTCTGCAAAATATACACATACTTATTTTTCTCACTCTATGAATTAAAGGGAAATGTTAGCCTGGAAGCAGATGCCACAGAATACCTTTGAGGAAAATTCTGAGAAAATAATTTACCCTTTCTCTTTGGTTTTGGAGCTCCTCTTGGCTGTTCTTTTGTTCACCGTGGACTCGCTCCCACTCCCACTCCCACTTTCACTGGAGGAATCCTCACTGCTGTCACCACTGCTGTCTCCTTCCTCGTCCTGCTCTTCACTTTCACTTCCAGATTCACTCTCTGAAAAAAAACAGAACCAGGTGCTCTTTGATTTATAGCCATTTAATTACACATAAGGACACAAGTAACTGTTAATATTCATCAAAAATGAAACAGATGTTGAATTTTAGTTTACTGAACACCACTTTTTTACACTTCTATTTCCACACTCCAGTCAGTCAGACTTCTGGCACCCTGCAGCGAGGGCAGTGTGGAGGGACCCCACAAGACACACGGGGGCTCTGACAGCGACTGGGAAAAGCAAAGAAAGGTGAACCAAGTAAGTAAACCAAATCTGAGAGACTCTCGCTTTTCAAACCCATAAGTACCTAGCTATGGCAAAAGCCTGAAAAAAAAAAAGATATAATGATAATATAAGGATAAATAATCTTTAATTCTTCTGTTGATAATAGGAAATTTAATTTAGAGAAGAAAAGTTAATAGTTGAGTCTTAAGAATAAATTCTGAGAGGGAAATGAGCCATTCAAATCATCTCCAAACATTTCTAAGCCCAAAAGCAACAAGCAAAATTACTAAAATTATTATTTATTTTAGCTAGCACAGGAGTACTCCATAGGTCAAAGAGATGGTATAATTACACTGAAGAACTACACATTTAAATGTCTTATGTATAAATTATGGTATACTAGGACTCTTTGGTAGAAGTGCTACATATAGTATATTTATGTGTATTTTAATAATGAAGCATAATTTTTGCTGTTTGAAATGGTTATAGTTACAGAGTTGTATTCTAGACAAAGATGAAAAACTGTTGCCCCTGCCGTGGTCTGTCTGATGTAGTTAGTGCCTTTAGGCAGAAACAGAACCAGTGGTTAAAATACTATTCTAGTAAGTTAATGTCTATTCTTTGAGGATTTATGTACCACACAGCAAAAAGCTAGGAGTGCCTATATGCCTTTGCAATAACTCGTATTACTTAGAAGCACAGGTTCTTAAGTTGGAATGCATGGTTCAATCCTGGCTTTACCACTTTCCAGTTGTAAGACTAAGCAAGTTATTCAAATTCTCTGGGTCTCAGTTTCTTTATCTGTACTCAAGGATAACACTAGCTACATTATGGAGGTATTACAAAGATTAAATGATTTGAAACATGTAAAGAAGATTAGGATACAACAGTGCCTGCCCCATAGTAAGGCATTTATTATTATGGGCTCTTACAAACAGCAAAATTTATTTTACTGAAACTTTACAAAGACAAAACTGCTGAATAAAGATATTCTAAATTTTTTATGATATCAAAGTTGCACAAATGTACATATATAACTCAGACAACTGGCTGATGCCATAAATTATGAAAAGAAATTATAGCATCTAAATTACTCTTGTGTTAATTACATGGGAGTTAAACACAACTGTGAATCCAGTTCACATCAGGCACCATTACTTAAATGTTCAGGTTAGTAAAATCCTGAGGGTGTTTGTTTGTTTTAAGACTTGCTCACTGGGAGACTAATCTTATAACTTCCAGTGAGAAAAGTTATCTTTTTCCTCTGGTCTGGAGTGGAACTACTATAACATAACTCACTACTACATATATTCAGACAAACTTACGAAAAGTCTTACTTTTAATAAAATATTTCAGATATGTTGTAAAAAAAGATTAGACTACGAACAGGCATAAGCTGTGAGTAAATGGAATGGAGACAAATATCCATATGGTATACTCAACTATACAAACAGGTCTTTCCCAATGGTATAAATCTTTCCTGAAATTCCATATTTTTTTAAAGTAGATGTCTGAATTGAAGTATTTTCTCTAGTTCTCAGCTTATTAGTTCAGAAAGTAATGTACCACAGATTAATTGATCAGTAACTAAAAACAAAAATTTTGAGAAGGAAAACAGGAAAAAAAATGAGTGAATTACCTAAGAGTATGTCAATGGAAGAACGAGTAATAGTGAGGTACCTTGGTTCCTTAAGGAATAAAAGTTATAGAAGAAAGATGGGTCATTTGATTTTGGGTCAGATATGTCTATTAGGTTAACTGTAATAAGTGTTAGAAAGTAATTCCGATATATTTTTTGTTATGTAAATCAGTCATAGAATTTTAATACTGCAGAGACTTAAAAAGCATCTAAATTCCAGTTCAGACGGTGATCCAACATTCCTATCATGGGTGTGCTAGAAGGAGAAGAGGAAAAGCAAGAAATTAAAAACCTATTTGAAAAAATAATGAAAGAAAAACTCCCTAATCTGGTGAAAGAACTAGACACACAAGTCCAGGAAGTACACAATCTCCCAAACAAGATGAACACAAAGAGGCCCACACCAAGACACATAATTAAAATGCAAAAAGTTAAAGACAAAGATAATATTAAAAACAGCAAGAGAAAAGCAGGTAGTTACCTACAAAGGAGTTCCCATAAGACTATCAGCTGATTTCTCAACAAAACTTTGTAGGCCAGAAGTGAGTGGCAAGAAATATTCAAAGTGAGGAAAAGTAAGTATCTATAATCAAGATTATTCTACTCAGCAAAGCTATCATCTAGAATCAAAGGATAATAAGGAGCTTCCCAGACAAGAAGAAGCCAAAGTAGTTCACCACCACCAAACCAGTATTATATCGAATATTAAAGGGTCTTAAGAAGAAGAAAAAAAAGGAGAAGATGGGCGACAAGTAGGTAGAAGACGAGCCCACCTGCTACTGCCCTCAACTTGGACACTTGGCTGACCCTCTGAAAAATAAACTAAATATTCCATGGAATCTTAGCTGTTAATGAAGTTTAAAAGCCAAGAAGTACAGAAGACACTTCACAACAGGTGGCAGGTGAAGGTGATATAGGTGGTGCTGCCAGAAGTTGGATGAACCACCCCGGGACCATGAGCTGAAAAGAGCCCGAGGTAGACATGGAAAGAGAAGACAGAAGGCAAACACCAAACTGTGCTCATACAATTTCCACCTCATTTTTATCCAGAATTTGCATTATTTTTTTCTTTCACATAGCCTTTTAATATTTCTTTTTTTGCTTCAATTGTATTCCAACTCACTATTCCTTGCCTTTTTTATTCTTTATATTTAGATTTTTATATTACTTTCATATTTTATTTCTATTTCAAATGTCACCTTGTGCCCCTCTTTTATCTTGCTCCATTTTGCCTTCCTGCCCTGTCTTATTTTTGTTGTAAATTTTTTCTCCCACTTTATGCCTCGTTCCTATTCCTTCCTCTTACTATTTCTCCTCCCTCTATTTTCTCAAAATCATTTTTCTTTACTGTAGACATCTTGTAATCTCTTTTCTCTTTTGTATAATATTCTTATTCTCTTTCCACCTTTATTAATTTTTGTTCAGATGTTGTTACTGACTCTCTAGTGGTTTTTCAGCACTTTTCTTTCCTTTGGTTCACTACTTTCTAAATGTTATTTAAAACCTCATACTATACTCTTCCTTTTTCTTACTCCATTTTGTCATCACCCTTCCCTGTTTTACTTATATTTTCAATTTTATTTTTCCCTTCCTTTGCCTTGTTTCTATTCCCTACTCTTATTATTTTACTCCCTGCTCCCATTCAAAATCATTTTTCTCTCCTTTAGTCATCTCATATCTCGTTTTCCTATTTTACAGTGTTTATCAACCTCTTTCCACCTTTATTAATATTTGCTCAAATGCTATTGATGTTGCTAATGTAATAGGAGGGTATTTTTGCTGGTGTGGGTTTAGTTCTCTGGGTAGTATTGCTTTGCTAACCAGCACCTGAACAACAGCATATAAGATGAGGCAGGGGTTGTTACTCCCAGTCAGACAGCTGGAGGGGAGAATCCCATCAATGAATTAGCCATCAATAATCAAAGCTCAAGTACAGCAAGAGAGCCCACATTAAATGAATAAAGGGTAACCCTAGAGCATCCAGATCAGGATATCAAAGAGATTGCATGAGTGAGTCCACAGAGCTCCAACCACAGAAGTCCACCCCACAAAGACAGACAGGCAAAGCAGAGCAACTAAGGTACAGAAACAAACAAAATGAATTACCTAAAATGGGGAGATAAAGAACTACTCCCCAACTGAAAGGAAATAAGGAATCTCCAGAAAAAAAACCTAAATGAAATTCAAGCAAGCAATCTATTATACATAGAATCCAAAATAATGGTTACAAGGATGCTCAAGACACTCAGTGAAAACTACAAGGAACTTTATGGGAGTTACAGCAGCATGAAAAAGGACATAGAAACTATGAATAAGAGCCAGGAAGAAATGAAGGATACAATATCTGAAATGAAAAATACACTAGAAGGAATTAAAAACAGGCTAGATAAAGTAGAGGACCAAATCAGTGAGCTGGAAGTTAAGGCAGAAAGAAATATCCAGTCAGAGGAACAGATGAAAAAGGGGTCACAAAGAATGATGATAGTTTAAGGGAGGTTTAGGGCAATATGAAATTTAACAACATTCACATCATAGGACTATCAGAAGGAGAAGAAAAGGAGCAAGGGATAGAAAATTTGTTTGAAAAAATGACAGAAAACTTCCCTAAAATGGTAAGGAAAAAAGCCATGCAAGTTTGGAAAGCAGAGAGGGTCCCAATCAAGAGGAACCCAAAGAGGCCTACTGCAAGAAACGTCATAATTAAAATGGCAAATTTTAAAGAAAAAGAAAGAATCTTAAAGGCAACAATGGGGAAATAGCTAGTAACATACAAGGGAGCTCCAATAAGGCTATTAGCTGATTTTTCAACAGAAACACTACAAGCCAGAGAGGACTGGCATGAAACACTCCAGGTAATGGAAAGCAAGGACCAACTCTATCCAGCAAGGCTCTCATTTAAAAGGGAAGGTGAAAGAAAGACCTTCACAGGAGCACCTGTATATATAAGAAGATCTTGGAGAACTTCAAGAAAAATACTGACAACAACATAGTTATCATAGGGGATTGATTTTAACAACCCATTGTCAACAATGGACAGATCTTCCAAACAAAAAATTAATAAGAATACTGGGGTGATGAGTGATACTACAGATCAAATGGATTTATATACTGATTCTATATACTGTTTGTATTCTTATATACTGGTTTTATATATATATTAGTGTATGTGTGTGTGTGTGTATACACACACACAGAACCTTTCACCCAAGAGAAGCTAAACATACATTTTTTTCAAATGCCCATGGAACAGTTTCAAAGATAGGCCACATGGCACGACACAAAACAAGCCTCAACAAATTCAATAAAACTGAAATCATACCAAGCATGTGCTCAGATCACAATGGATTAAAACTAGAAGCCAACCTCAAGGAAAAAAAACTCAAAAACATTTAAATATATGGAGACTGAATAACATGTTATTAAAAATAAATGGGTCAACAAGATCAAGGAAGAAATCAAAAAGTATCTGGAAACAAATTAAAATGAACTCACAATAGTCCAAAACTTATGGAACACAGCAAAGGCAGTCCTGAGAGGGAAGTTCATAGCAATACAAGCCTACCTAAGGAAGATATAAAAATCTCAAATGAACAACCTAACCCTACATCTACAAGAACTAGATGAACAACAAGGAAGCCCAGAAGGAGCAGAAGGAAGGAAATAATCAAGATCAGGGAGGAATTAAATGACATAGAGACTAAAAAAACAATTCAAGGGATCAATAAATCCAGGAGCTGGTTCTTTGAAAAGGTAAACAAAACCGACAAACATTTACCCAGACTCACCAAGAAAAAAAGAAAGAAGACCCAAACAAATAAAGTCAGAAATGAAAGGGGAGAAGTTACAACCAATACCACAGAAATGCAAAGGACTGTAAGAAATTACTATGAACAACTATATGTAAATACATTAGACAACCAGGGTAAAATGGACAAATTTTTAGAAACACATAATCTTATAAAACTGAATCAAGAAGATGCAGAAAGCTTGAGGAGACCAGTAACAACTAGTGAAATTGAAGTAGTAATCAAAAAACTCCCAGCATACAAAAGCCCTGGACTGGATGGCTTCCCAGGTAAATTTTACTAAACATTTAAGGAAGAACTAACTCCTATCCTTCTCAAACTATTCCAAAAAATTCAAAAGGAGGAAAGACTCCCAAACTCTTTTTATGAGGCTCGTATTATTCTAATTCCAAAACCAGTTAAAGACAAAACAAAGAAAGAAAACTATAGGTCATTACCTTTGATGAATATAGATGCTAAAATCCTCAACAAAATACTGGCAATCTGGATTCAGAAATACACTAAGAATATCATACAGCATAATCAAGAGGGATTCATTCCAGGGATACAAGGATGGTATATTTGCAAATCAATAAACGTAATACACTATATGAACAAAATGAAGGACAAAAGTCACATGATCATATCAATAGATGCCAAAAAAGCATTTGTGAAGGACAAAAATCACAGGATCATATCAATAGATGCTGAAGAAGCTATAAAATCTAGCACCCATTTAGGATAAAAAGACTCAGAAAGTGGGAATACAGGGAGCATACCTCATTATAGTAAAAGCCATATATGAGAAACCTACAGCCAACATTATATTTAACAGGCAAAAACTAAAAGCTTTCCCCTCAAGGAACAAGACAAGGTTGTCTACTTTCACCACTTCTATTCATCATAGTACTAGAAGTTCTAGCCACAATGATCAGACAAGAAAAAGAAATAAAAGGCATCCAAATTGGAAAGGAGGAAGTAAAACTGTCATTCACAGACATGATAGTGTACAAAGAAAAACAGTACAGTCTCCACCAAAAAACTACTCGACCTAATAAGTGTACTTGGCAAAATAGTGGGATACAAAGTCAGTATGTAGAAATCGATGGCATGTATATACACCAGCAATGAAATATCAGTAACAGAAATTATGAAAAAATCCTATTTACTATAGCAACAAGAGAAATAAAGTACCTAGGAATAAATTTAACCAAGGAGGTAAAAGACCTGTACTTGGAAAATTATACAACACTGAAGAGAGAAATTAAGGAAGATACAAATAAATGGAAGTATATATGTCGTTCATGGACTGGAAGAATTAACATCATTAAAATGTTCATACTACTCAAAGCAATAAATGTTGTAAAGAAAAACATAGGCAGGAAAATTTCAGATATCCCACATAGTGATATTTTTGCCGATATATCTCATAGGGCAAGGGAAATAAATAAAAAAATTAAACAAATGGAACTGTATCAAACTAAAAAGCTTCTGCACGGCTAAAGAAATGATTAGCAAAATGAGAAGGGAACTGACTGTATGGAAGAACATATTTGCCAATGATTTTTCAGAAGAGTCTGATATCAAAAATATATAAAGAATTCGTAAGACACAATACCAGGAAGACAAACAATCCAATTAAAAAATGGGCAAAGATTCTGAATAGACACTTCTCCAAAGAGGGCATATAGATGGTCCACAGACATATGAAAAGATGCTCAACATCACTAGCCATCAGAGAGATGCAAAATAAAACCACAATGAGATATCACCTCACACCCATCAGAATGGCCATCACTAATAAGTCAACAAACAATAAGTACTGTGAGGATGTGGAAAAAAAGGGAACCCTAGTGCACTGCTGGCAGAAATGAGACTGGTACAGCCACTGTGTAAAACAGTATGGAATTTCCTCAAAAAACTAAAAACAGAATTGTGTTTTGACTCAGTGATTCTGCTACTGGCAATATACCCTAAGAATCCTGAATCACCAAAAAAAGAACTTATGCACCTCCTATGTTCACAGTGGCATTATTTATAATAGCCAAGTACTGGAAACAGCTTATTCTCTATCAGTAAATGAGTGGATCAAAAAACTGTGGTACATTTACACAATTCAATACTATGCAACAGAAAGAAGGAACTCCTACCATTCTGCGACAGCATGGATGAACTAGAGAGTATTATGCTTAGTGAAATAAGCCAGGCGGTAAAAGACAAATACCATATGATCTCACCTACAAGAAGAATCTAAGGAAAAAAATTAACTAATGAATAAAATAGAAGTGCAGGCTCAGAAACATGGAACAGACTGCAAGTGACCAGAGAGGAGTGGGGAGAAGAATAATGGTGGAAAAAAGGAGAAGGCACAAGAAAAAGAAAATGTATGAATGACCCATGGACATGGCGTGGGAATTGACTGTAGAAGCGGGGGTAGGATGGGCAGAGGCGGGCAAAGGGAAAAAAATTGGGAACTGTAAAAGAATGACAATAAAAAAGGATTAAAAAAAGAAGAGAAAAAGATAAAAATAGAACACAATGGCAATAACTACATATCTTTCAAAAATTGAATCTAAAAATACAAAATAAATGAACAAACAGAACACACTCTTAGACACAGATAACAAACCATTTTGATGGTTGCCAAAAGGGAGGAGGTTTAAGTGGATGAGTGAAAAAGATGAAGGGATTAAGAAGTACAAATGGTTGTTTCAGAATAGTCATGGGGATGTAAAGTACAGTATAGGGAATATAGTCAACAATACTCTAGTAACTATGTACGGTGTTGGATGAGTACGATTATTGGGATGAACACTTAGTAACATACATTGTCCAATCACTGGGGTGTACACCTGAAATTAATATAGTATTATATGCCAACTGTAATTGAAAAAAATGATTTAAATAGAAGCATCTAACTCTGTGTCTTCATTTATCAGATGTAGAGACAGGTAAGTGGCTTATTCATTTTATATAGATAAAACCCAGGACTTATAAATCCTTCTAATTTACATTCTTTTTATTGTATTTGGTTACCCTCAATCTTTTAATTCTTGGTTTCTTTATAATATACAAGGGATTTATTAATTTTACTTTTATTTCTCTACAGGTTCAGGTAGAAATAAGAGTATAAAATGTATAAAGTTTTTTAAAGGCACCACTAAAGGCTTATCAAAAGTAAAATCATGTTTTTCAATACACCAATGAATATAATAGGAAGTGTAGGTTAGAATTCAGAAAAGCCTGAGTATCATTCATTAGCTGTGTCCAAGAGGCAGTATCAAATAAGAAGGGACTGGAAATTACTTTGAAAACTAAACAGAGATGTGTAAATGAAAGGAATTATTGTAGTAGCAGAAAGTTTTTAAAAACTCACTTCTTGAATATTATATACTAGGTCTTGAATATTATGTACTAGGTCTTACTGTTTTGTTGGAGGTACAGCATGGAAACTACAGTGCATAATGTTTTTTAACAAATCACAAAGCCCACCACTGTCACTGCTGCTGTCAGAAGAGTCTTCTTCCTCCTCAGATTCAGAATAAAATTTCTTAGGAGGATTCTCTTTCTTTGCTTTTCCTGATGGTGTCCTTTCTTTTGCCTGTTTAAGAAAAAGCAAAAATGTAAATATAAAGAAATTCTCATTGACGATTCAGTCTTCTCGCAAACTCAATCATTCCAAATATGCCATGAACTCAGAAGGAAGTTTAAAGCCTCAGCAGAGGAGGTCCCTTAGGCAAGTCCTGGCATTAAGGTTGGTTCCCCTTTGCCTCTGAATAGAGGAACACAAACTCGCAGGGCTCATAACATGTTAAATCAACAACCTCATTTTTACATACAATTTTAAATGCTTTTGTATTTGTTGGTCTACAGAAGATTTAAACTAAAGTCTCGAAGAGATGAGGGCAATTAGAGGTAGACACAATAACAGCAAGAAGAAATTCAAGTTCACAGCTTGATACTGATATAAGAGAAAAACAGTGAAAATATTTACTGTAGGCAATAAATAGCCCTAACCTTCTCAACAGTCTAAATCCTGGAGTAATCCTTGATTTTCTCCGCTTCTCTCATTTCCTAAACATATAATCAATCAAGAAAGCTTTCAGCCATCTTGTTCCCTTAACACCTTGGTCAAAGCCATCTCCCTCCCCTGGATTACTGCTAACTGGTTATCTCACCTCTAACCCCACTCCAAGTTTGCTAGAATAATTCTAGTGAAATCTAGGTCTGACTATATTATTGACTACATTCGCTATATTGTACTGTACATCCCCATGACTATTTAACCCATTCGCCTTTTAATAACTTTGTATGGTATCAGGGAGGTACTAGAATTATTGGGGTATCACTTCATAAAATTATGTAATTGTCTAACCACTATTCTGTACCTGAAACTAATATATAATATCAATTGTAATAAAAAAATAAAATTAAAAAAAACAATTTAAACCCTAAAATACAATCAAGCCCTGTTGGTTGAAAACCCTGCAAGAGCTCCCCATTTCACTCAGAGAAAAAACCCAAGTCCTTAGAACAGTCTGCCATGGCCCTACATGCCCCACCCAAACCTTCTTCTGCTGCTCTCCCTGCTGCCTACTCTGTTCCAGCCACTGTTCCTTCAAACACCCCAGGTAAGCACCCATCTTAGGGACTTTGCCTGAGCTGTTCCCACTTCCGATCTCTCCCCGCACGTAGCTCCCTCACTTCCTTCACGTCTTTGCACTACTGTCCTATCAGGGAAGACCACTTTATTTAAAAGTCCAACTCCCATACTTTGCTCTAATCTTTTTTCTTCTATTACAGCACTTCTTACTTTCTAATATCCTATACTATTTATATATTAACTTTTATTGTTAGTTTATGCCTGCGAGAATGTCAGCTTTTGGAGAGCAGGGATTTCTGGACATTTTGTACACAGATATCTGGCACAGTAATTCTTAGTTTTTAAATGGCCCCTTAAAAACTCTAATACAGTGTATTACAGTAAAATAAATTATTTTCATAATTGTGACCTTCATCAAGAAAAATTAAACCATATTTCATATACTCTCTTTTAAAGGACAGGAAAATGAGTATTTTTTTAAAGGTCCAAATGGTTAAGACTTACAAATTTATCACACTTTTAACTGAATTTCTACTATGTGCTAGTTTGCTAGATTATAAATTCCACTGTAATGGAATTTATAGCACAACAAAGCTTCTTATTCAAGAACTCTGGATGCACATGAGAATCATGTGAGAAAAAATTTAAAAATACTTAAACAATAAAATACCGCCCTGGCTGGTATGGCTCAGTGAATCGAGCGCCTGCAAGCCAGGTCCCCAGTAGGGGGTATGTGAGAGGCAACTGATCCATGTATCTCGCACACTGATGTTTCTCTCCCTCTCTTTCTCCCTCCCTTCCCCTCTGTCTAAAATAAATAAATAAAATCTTAAAAAATAAAAATACGAATGCTAAAAAAGCTAATGCCTGAGATTTACCTCCTAAGATTCTGATTTAATTGATCTGGTGCAAGTCTGGCATAGGTTTGTTTTGTATAAAGATCTCCACTGAAAATCACTGATCTTAAAGAACTTGAGGGCTTAAGATATGCTTCATAATAACAAGATACGCTTCAGTAACCTAGAAAAATTACTATATGGACAATGATAGAAAGACGAGTAAAAACTATTTGAATATATGTGAATAAGATACTTACATAATATCAGCAATACTGCTTTCTTTTTACATATTTAAAATGTTCTGTACTTGAAATGTGAATATAGTATTCTATGAACAAAATTTTCCTATATTTAGTAAACACTAGAGTTCTTATTTTTCTTAAATCCAAAAAATCATTTCCTGAAGTCTGGTAAAAAGTGTATCAGATCAATTTACAGAAAAAAATTACTTAATTAGACTATGGCTTTCAGGATAAGACTAAATCAACAAATAAGGAAAATCAGGCTTCTATGTTTAAAGGGCAAATTGACATAGTTATCAACTACCACTTCATGGAGTGTTAAACAATATATTTTAATTTTTGTTTGGGTCTTCTAAGACTATGACAATCATATTATTCTAAGCAAAAGAAACAACAGAGAACAAAGAATAGAGAGGCATTAATTTTATAGTTCCTATGAGGGGTAAAATATTGATAATAGATATGTTTATAAAGCAAAATACCCTTGATTTGGAAGAGAGCCTTTCTGTAATTGAAGGGAAAAAGACTTTCTAGAACTAAGCAAAAAAAAAAAAAAATTCTAATGGATCTTCAAAACTTACTGGTATCAAAGTATGCCAGTATGACATTATATCCGATATCCTAGAAATGGTAGTATGTAATTCAAAGTGACTTCCAGTGTCAATCTGTCTAGGTTGTTTTGATTAAAATATCAGATTATCTAAACTCAGGCCATTTTTCTTACTAAGTTATATTTCACAGTATCAAGATGTGATCCTGTAAGATCACTTTATAGTAAAACTAGGATAACACAATGTATTATGTGCATAAAACATACTGATGTGACTTTGGATGGGCGTGAGATGGAGTGAGAGGCAAGAAAGAGGTTCTGCACTGTTAAAGCTGAATCTGATATTTTTATATTTGTGTCTTTTATAGTATAATTTTAAGCCAATATGTCCAGAGACAAAAGATTGAAAATGTTTTCTGCATGGAATCAATGGATAGTAACAGTTTTCTTCAACCAGACTACATCAGTTATAATTATTCTCCATGAATAAGTTAGCAATTATTAATTTCCAGAATGTAGTCAGCAAAATGAAAAAGAAATCAATTTGTCGCTGTTGAACTGGGCAGGTGAAATGAACATAAGAAAATAGGTTATTTAAGTACTGTCCCTGTAAGATAGCTAATGCTTAGAAGAGCACATGAAAATGGAATAAGCCAGCCAGCCAACCAATCTATCAGCCCAAATAAGGATACTGCTGAGACCAAATTAAATTGCATAGCATTGTTATCAATTTCTGAGAAGATAAACTACTTTTACTTTTTTTTGGTGGAATGCGGTGGCAAGGAGGAGGGATGAACGGCAGTAAGAAGAGAATAAACAGATAGTTCTACTTCAGCCTAAAAATTACATACCCAATAATGAAAAAGGATAGAACCATAAAACACCAACTGGGCACAAGAAATTAATAAAGAAAGTGTATCTGTGGAAAGAATCACAACACAGACCATTCTCTTTATATTCTAACATCTGACCAAAAGTAGCACAAATAAGCCAATCCTTTTGTAGAGCACTCAAAATATGTAGATTTGAGTGAAAATCAGCAAACTTAATTGCAAGGAGGAATGGACATGCAATTAGTTTTAATAACTTCTGTATTTTTAAAAAATCATCCCTAAATACAATCTGTCACAACATGAATATGATGATGCTAGGTACTAAGGGTAGTGCAGATCTGCAAAGAAGCTCCAGCTCCCTCTCTTCACATTACATAATAATAACATACAGTAAGACCAAGGACAATGGATTCTGATGGGTCTGGGTTGAAATCTCAGTTGCTTCATTTACTAGTTTGTGAACTTGGGCACTTTACTTAGGCTCTCTGAACCTCAGTTTACTCATCTGCAAAATGGGAACAAAAATAACCAACACTTAAAAATCATTATGCAGTTTAGTAAGAACAATGTTCGTAAAACATTATCAAAGTACACTGCCAGTGTTTGCTAAGTGCAGCCATTATTGTTCATTATTGCTTCTGGCCATGCTCCAAAGCCAGAATAAGTCTGAATAGTTAAGAGAAACAGATTTCTCAAAAGGATTAAATTACATGACTATGCCCATTATTGAAATTCTGATTAAAGTAATAAAGATTTTTTTCCCATTGCATATGATAAGTTAATGGGAAAGAAGGTTAACTGACTTTCCCACAGGCATTAGAAGTAAAGAACTCTGGTTATCTGAATCCTTGTTTAATATAACTTCTTTACCAAAAAAACATCCAAAATGTAACTCATTGTGCTTTTTATTAATTCTACTTTAAAAAGAATTAGACATATCTCATATAATCAAATCTTTAAAGACAATATGAACATCCTCTATTCTTATTTATATAAGAAAGAGAAATAAATATATTAGGAAATAAATAATATATCAGGAAATAAAGTTTAAAAATAGCCAGCATTTTTTACAGATCTTGGAAAAGGTTATTTATATAGAAGTTTTTTTTTCCTAATGTGAAAGCAACATATTATTTATTTTAATTTTGATGTTGTCTAAGGACATATTTGGTACACAATGTTCCCTATTTATGTTTAGGCTTCGCTTAAAATAGATTCATCAGAAGATCCAGAACACTTTGTACAGTTTCTCTAGAAGAGAACAGCAAAAATTATTTAGAAAAACATTGGCAGGAAGCTTACAAAACTCTAAATAAAATAGAAAAAGCTCAATCCAATAAAACTAAGTATCTTAGAAATTGAATCTACAAAGCTACAAACGCAGTACCACATGTGGGTAGCACTGATACAGAGAATTTAATTCTCTATTTCTTTGGAGAAAAGAACAGTACATGTACAATGACATAGGAATACTACAATTTTCAGTTCTTATAATAGTGAGATGTATCTAACACATTATACTTAAAAATACCAGGGCAATTTTCATTTTTCAACCCCCCCAAAGCTTTTATATAAAACTACCATTATTCTAGAATATCCTACTGCTTGACAAAATTAATTTCTGAAAGCTCAACTTACCAACTCTATTACTTCTACATTTCGAACTGATGGGTCAGGTGCCACCTCTGGCCAATCAGATAATTCCAGGTACCCACTGGCTTTAGTGTTGAGAATGTGAGATAACGTACCAAGCTGAAAATGATCCCTATCTATTAAAATACAGGAAAATAGAAAATAAACAATATGAGCTATATGTAAGACTGAACAATCCTAATCAGAACTCAAGGTAATTGGCATATTACCTCAAATGTCAAGAAATAAATATAAACTAGGAAGCTCTTCATAGGTCAAAAAACTGATTTCAGTCCATAGATTACAATAATCTTCCCCATAATGGTCAATAAAAAAGCTAATCAGTCAGTGTGTTTAGAGGTGTTGCTCTGAAATGTAGCTTCTCTAAAAATTACTTTACTGTGAATATTAAGAATGACAGCACAGTTAAACAATCCATATACATGTCTTGGCAAAAACACATCCAGAATTTTAATACTTTTTCTATGAAACTAAACTGCTTTTTATCACTTTACAACAATTAAATAAGAGACAATATGAAGACCAAGGTATATAATCATCTGATTCCAACTGTAATGGCTACTCGTGAAAATTATCAATTAATTTACTCCTTTTTAAAAGCTGGGAAAAAATAAGTCAACTTCCACCTTTGAAAAACAAATTTAAATATACCAAAACACTTTTATGAAATAATTATCTCTAAAAAAGTTTATGTTAGTGTACATAAAATATTTAATTAGTAACAATTCACTAATGAGATCAATTATATTCCTTATTAAATAAAACTATTTAAAATAACAATGAAGTCAACATCTACAAGAACAATACACCTTTTATCTATTGTTCAGCTAAATTGCTTATAAAGAACAAACATGAAATCAGAAGACTGAAATTATTTAAGTAAATAAGGTCTAAAATTATAAACTAATATAAAAAATATAAACTAATATAAAGCTTGCTCTGGAGAACAGATGAATGAATAGCAAGCACACTCTTTTTATATATTTATATATGCACATCATTTATATTTCTTAAGAGATAAATTTTAAACACATTAGAAACAGAATATATTGTCACATTTTTTATGTAACATCTACTGTGCAGTTATATTCTAGGTAATAATAATACCTTTAAAAGGAGACTCAAGCACTGGGGCAGGTTTCTGTGCTAGGAATATTTTTTTAGCATATTTACTTAAAGCTCCACTCTTCTCATTCGGAACAATAAGCTGCCTAATAAATCTTGTACGGTCTCTGATGTCGTAGTTTTGATCATACTTGCCGAGATTTAATATGTACTGGGTAAGCAATTTTGTCTGTTGGAAAAAAACAGAACAAGATGAGAATACAGTTATTTATGATTATTGATAACTCTGGATAAACATATTTAAAGAGGTAATAAAAATGAATGGTTATGTCAAACAAATGTTGTTCCATAGGGAATATGCATTTCTAACGCTGCAAATGGAATTTTGAAGCCAAAGCACATGTCCTCTTCAGTACTGGGGAGGTGAATGCTGAGTACTGAGAAGCAGCCATGTGCTAGATTATTAAACTGCTGAAGTGGAAAGAAAGGCATCATTAAAAAAATAATCATATATGGCAAACCCGCTGAAGGGTCTACGTGAGAATAATGAATGTGGAAATACAACTAAAAACATGGCACTCAAAACTTAATCGGAAAAATATGCAGGACATCAAAACATCAGAGAGTATTAGGGGATGGCAAACTGCTTCTCCTGAGGTGTGTTTTATGAAGAGATACTGTCCCTGGCATAAGCAGTGTCTGCGCTCTGACTGCACTCAGTTACTTTACCCTGAATTATGACCCATTAAAGCAGACACATGAATCACTGAACTGGATTACTGCAAATTATTTGCAGTGCATTTAGCTGTTACTTTTTCATAAAAGCAAGCTGCTGATGCCCTCTAAAAACTAGGATAAAAGACTCCTTCCATTTTTTCCCCATGCTGCTTATAGCTGCTAGTAATATTGGTCATTTATTTATTTATGTAAGGGAACAACTTATTATCGTAGCTTTTACACTGTAATAAGATTTCCTAAGTCAATATCTAAATGTACTACATTAACATACATTGAGATTTTAATATTAAACCAAAATTGAAATGTTAACTAAATAGCTTTGTATTTCAAAGTCATTATTTCATTGCAAAAGCACAGGTTTAATTTAGAAGGTTACACACATGCAATAGCAATGTAAATTATACAGAATCCATAATACATGGAAAAATAAACATCTACATTAGAGCATTTTATAGACATTAGAAGTATAAAAAATAAGTAAATAAATAAATACATAAAATCATGTCAGGCAAAGACAGTTCTAGAACAGTCAGTCAGAGTATAGGAATGGTACGGTAAACTCTTACAATAATAATTGGTTGAAACAACTGATTTGTAGAGAAAGCAACCTTCTTTCAGTAACAATGTATTTAAAAAGCACTAACCTACTGTCAAGAAAGTAGAAGTATAAAAAATACTAAAGAAAGTGTTGATAGAGCTGTTCTGAATGGTTATTAACAACTGCCGTTCACTAATTTCTAGACCATGTTGGTTCAACTACAGATGAGAATTCTATGATTTACTTTTAAATAATTAACAAATATTCACCAAGTGAGGAATATAGTTCAAAAGGAAATGCATTATTCTAGACAATGTAATTGACTTGCTAGGATATCCAGGGAAAACTAACCATTAGTTTTCTTGAATATAGAATAAGAATTTATAGCCAGGTTACTCTAAAGTCCATTTGAATGCTGAGATTTAGAATGTGCAGCCAAAGTAAATCAGAGAAAGAAGAGAAGTGTGTTCACTGTAATGATGTTTTTTCGAGCTAGTGGAGTTACACATTTTGCTTATATTTTCTATCCCTGAAATTATCGTTTAGGAAATTAAACTATTTCAATACATTAACAGACACAATTATTGAGAGTAAAATAGGAAATTTGAAGTAGTTAAAATTACATTATTTAAAAAATTATATATTTATTGACTGTAAAACTTAATTTATTATACTGGTAGCCTTGTAAAACAGTTTTATTAAAATGCATTTTCAAAAATAAAATTTATTTCTATAAGCTAAAAACATATCCATGTACAATGATGTGTTAAAAATATAAGTGGAGTAATTATTCACTGCACACTCATATATTTTCCTCACTTTACAAGTATTTATCTCTAATATTAAGTCACTGGTATTTCCCTGAAGAATGTGTTTTTTATATGGTCATATTATTTGGAAGTTTAACAAGAGTATGAGTACCTACTATCTTCAAAATTGAATTTTATGATCAATAATTATGACACTGTTGACATTTTCAACTTACTCTTCTTTATAAACCATACTTTTTTAAAAGATTTTATTTATTTACCTTTAGAGGGGAAGGGAAGGAGAGAGGGAGAGAAATATTAATGTATGGTTGCCTCTCATGAGTCCCCTTGTTGGGAACTGGCCTACGACCCAGGCATGTGCCCTGACTGGGAGTCGAACTGAGATCCTTGGGTTCACAGGCCCATGCTCAACCCACTGAGCCACACCAGCCAGGACTATAAACCATATTTTTACAGGAGAAAACATCCCCTTTATAGTATTGGACAGTCTGATAAGTGTAGAGAAAATTCTGTTGAATCAAGGATATTTGCAATGCTTTTTTAATGTTGAAATTTATAAATATTTCAAGCCCAGAGATTTAACTTTTCCCCTTCCATTCAATGAAACTTTTTAAATAATTATTTTTATAGAATAACTTTTAATAATTTTCCACTTAAACTTTTAAAGTAAATGACCATATTTAGGTACTACAAAATCAACTGCCTTCTCAATGTCATTTCATTTTGATACAAAATAGAAACGTATCCAGTTAAGCTCTGGCTGGTGTGGCTCAGTGGACTGAGTGCCGGCCTATCAGCTGAAAGCTGACCAGTTTGATTCCCAGTCAGGACACACAGCTGGGTTGCAGACCAGGTGCCCCGTTGGGAGCCCATGAAAGGCACCTGAGCTGTGTATCTCTTGCACATGGATGTTTCTTTCCCTCTCCTTCTCCCTTCCCCTCTCTAAAACTAAATAAATAAAATCTAAAAAAACCAAACTTACACAATTAGAAACCAGAAGCTCCATCAAAAGGTTTCACAATACTTGCGTAGTTGAGATACTGTAAATGACAGAACTCCTAAAATAAATATTGCTCCCTCACCACTTAACTCATTCAGTTCGTCCCTTGTTTTTTTTTTTTAAATTCTCACCAGAAGATATGTTTATTGATTTTAAAGAGAGAGAGGGAGAGAAAAAGAGAAAGAAACATCAGTTGGTTGCCTCCTGTATGTGACCGGATCTGACTGGGGATCGAACTGCAAGTCAGGTACATGCCCTAACCAGGGATTGAAGCCGCAGCCTGTTGGTGTACAGAATGATCTCCAACCTAGTCACCCAGCCAGGGCTGTGCTTCCCTTGTTCTTGTAGAGATACATTTCAGTGTCTTCCTGTTTGCAAGATTTGTTTCCAATAGCTGCTATTTGCTAATGTTTGCAAAAACTGACACTGTATTTGGTGAACACTAAAGATTTCCAAATAATTCTGAACAAAACTCTAACCAAAATAGTACAAAAGTTTCTTCTACTCAATCCCCACCCCCCAAACGAAAGCCAATATAGGACACTTAGGTCCAATGACAAAGCAGTTTTTCACAAAATCACTTTTCTAAAATCCTGTTGGCAACATGGAGCAAAGAGACTCACACGCCAGAGTGTGTGTTGTCAAAGTGAAGCATGTTTTGTCAACATCTGCTCCATCACAGTAATTCTATAGTTAAATTATAGATAGCTATACTACACATATCAAATATCAGTAAATTTGACCATTACAGTTTTACTTCAATTGGCAGAACAAGCAGATTTTGCTTGCATGCACCACAACCAATTCCCCAAATATTTCTGCTCCATAGTTTTCTTAATAAGAACATTGATTTTTACCATGACAACCACCTTTTGGAAAAAACAAGTAGTTTTATCTTCCATGTTGGGCTTTTAAACTCACAATAGCATTTACAGCATTTCTGACAGAATAAACTTAAAAAGCTTTACTCTGATTCTTCTTATTACACTGACAGAACAAACACACAAAGGCTCTGTGTGAAAAAAGTCAAACTGTTGCTGGAATTAATTAGTTTTCTATTTAAAAAGGTGCATTGTTTAGGGTCCTTTTTTTTTTTTTTTTGCTAATGGAGCCAATACATAACAGTTATCACTTCACTTTAAAAATATTTTAAATTTATTTTTTCTATTTTTAGAGGGGAAGGGAGGAAGAAAGAGAGGGAGAGAAACATCAATGTGTGGATGCCTGTTATGCGCCCCCTACTGGGGACCTGGCCCACAACCCAGGCATGTGCCCTAACTGGGAATTGAACCCTTTGGTTCACAGGCTGGTGCTTAACCCACTGAACCACATCTTCGTTTTTCATAAGTGAAAAAAACACTTGAAATAAAAATTGAACAAAATTAATTTTAAAAAGTTATCTGATCTAAGTGAGATCATGTTTTATAAAAGCATAAATATAAAATCTGTACCTGTACATATTTGCCATCTTGAGACACAATCTTTTCAAATAATTCCTAATTTCTTAAACATATGCTGATATTTTTAGCAGATTTTTCATGTTTTCTGGTTGCTGTGTGGCCTGTGATATAACTTTAATTCTTACGGTGGATGGTAAATGTTGATAAACATTTTGTACATGTTAAGCATTTAAAGAGAAATCAGTACTTTGTTCTTCATTAAATATACACTTTAATTTTTAAAAATTCATTGTTGCTGGGTTTGCAATAAAATGAAGAAAAAAATTCTGCCAAATAATAAAATAAATAGGTTTCAGATTTATGGTACACAACAACACCACAAGTACTGCAGGGACCGTGCTTGACCATGTCTTAAAGGATCTAGAGCAGGACTCTTCTCTGAGTCCTGTACATATTTCTCCAAACCAAACCTCTAACCTCCCATGTGTTCCTCTGACCCCATCCACTGACAGCTGGGAGCTTCACGCTTCACATGGGCCATGGCCCGTTGCTGGCGAATGAAAACACTTAAGTGTTTTCGTTTAAACACTTATCTTGCCAAAATGGGAAAAGTGAAAGACTTCACTTTTCTTCTTGCCTTCTCAGAGAACACTTCATTTTATCAGCACATATTCTTCATGCCTCTCTAAAAGGGAGAAGTTCATCATGATGCATCTCAAAGGGTTGAAAAATGAAAGAAAGTCTCTCCAATGTAGATGTTTCACATACTAAAATGAAACCTCT